TTTTTTTTTTTTTTTTTTTTTTTCACATTGTTTAGATGTCAGGAAAGCTAAAACTTGCACTATCTGAACAAATAAGAAGTATGATGGGTTGGATGCTTACAGATTCACATAGTCAACGAAGGAAGAAAGGATCTGTTTATGGGAGCAAAGATAGCATGGGAGAAACTGTTCATTCAAATAATGATGTGAGTGATGAGTTCAAATTCAGGGAAAATGTTGCTACTGCTAGAGAATCTGTCATTGCAGTGGCATCTCAGTTTCAGTCAGAAACAGTCGGTTCAAGTTCCCATGATTACTCGACTTCCCAAGCATCTGAAACTATGGAGATATCATGTCTGCGTAAGGTATTATCCAATCATGGCGTTCAAAATGTAGATGAACACCCAAATTCAGCTGCTTCTAAAGTTGCAGTAATGGAGACTGTGGTTGGCGATTCTCTTTTGCCAGCAGCTCACATACATGAAGAAACAAATCAGTTTGGGGGTCGAAAAATTGAATTCCTCGAAAAGGATGATACAAATATCTTTAACCATATTTTCAACAGCTCTGCACGCAAAGGACTGCACACCATTGACAAGACGTCCCTAGAACAACTGGACAATCTGGAACCAGCACCATCTTATGCTACCCTTCTGATGAAACACAGCTATTCCTCGCGCATGTACAGTTCTGTGGGGGGAGGATCGAATCTTGCTGCATGCAATGCTATCTTACCTATAGGTTGTTCTTTTCAGTCACTGGATTGTCTATGGTACTTCTGGTTATTCTTATACGAGACTATTATATTTCTTCATTTTCTTTTTTCTTAACCAGAGAAGTCTGAAGAGGATAAGCCAGTTGGATATCACAGTCAAGGCTTTCTCTTCCAGCAGAAGGATTCAATACATAGGTTGGAGTTAAGAAACGACAACAAAACAATTCATCGTGATTCGCCCAAGAACTCACTCCCACCTTCTGATCCCAGGGATAAGCTTAACCACGACAAGCATAATCATTCATGGCAATTACGTGTTTACAACCAACTTTTGAGGGAAGGAAGGTAAATGCCAATTTAAGTCACTTACATTCTTGGACAAGAAGTACTGGAGTTATAATGCATTTATATCATCATCTGCAGTTTGTACCTGACATTATTGATCTAAATGTGTGCAGTTTAATGTTGTTACAAATTATTATTCTTCCTACTTTTATGTTGCTGTCAAATACCTATTTATTTGTTTTCTTATTCTAGGTTAAATGATTGCATAGAGTTGCTTGAGGATTTGGAAGAGAAGGGTTTGTTGGATATGGATAAGGTGACTTTGCATTTCGCTAGTTTTCCTATTATTACGATGCCATGCAAAGTGTTATTTAGTTGTTCAATTTCATGCCTCTAGGTTTACCATAGAAGGTTTTTTGAAGTTTGCAAAGTTCAGAAGGATGTTAGGCAGGCATTCCGCTTCACGAAATTCATCCCAAACCCAACCTTGAGTACGTTCAACATGCTTATGTCTGTTTGCACGAGCTGTCAAGATTCCGAAGGTACCTTCTCGCTCTCTAAACTGAAAGGTTCCATGATTTTTCCAGCGTCCTGCATTTTAACTCTTAGATTTACTTTCTACTTTCTCTTATATGTAGGTGCTTTTCAAGTTCTTCAACATGTTCAGGAGGCTGGTTTAAAGGCTGACTGCAAACTTTACACTACTTTGATCTCAACCTGCGCTAAAAGTGGCAAAGTGGATACCATGTTCAGAGTATGGAGACCCATTTCAATTACGGACATTGCTTTTCCAGTTTAGATGCTCATGTTTTCAGTTACCAGGGCATGGGATTAGATTCTTCTTAAAACTGCAATACTTCAATGTTTGTTTGTTTTTCTTTTTTTTTTTTTTTTTTTTTTTTTTTTTTTTTTTTTTTTTTTTTTTTTT